GTCCTGTGCGCTCTTGCTTATTCCATGTGACACGAATGAGAGCGAGAAGGTAGCGCAGTTGCTCTCCTTGGAGAGCAACTTCGCTAGGGATGCTCTTGTCGTATGTTTCAACCTCTTGTACCTTGAGTTTCCGGCACTCCTTTCAAAGCCGCCGAAAAAAAAATAAAGTTTGCCGACGAAACGTTGTAGGGTGGTGCAGTCCACGAAAGGATTTTCAACGAAACGTCACAGTGTCGACGAAACGTGTGTCCATGAAAAGTGTGTCCACGAAAATATTTCCACGAAACGTACGTAATTCCACGAAACGAGTTTCGACGAAATGATAGGGATTCAAGTTTTTGTGCCTTAGAAAAAGCCACTGGAATAAAAAGAAGTGCTGAGGGTATCCATGAACTGACTATATGCGACATTCCATCTACAAAGTGTTTCCTCGGCCAGTGCCGCTGATGCCCAACAGCTGAAACTCTTACTGCGCCTCGCCTGGGAGTCCCAGATGGTGATGAAGTGTTGTACGCAGCCTGGGAGAAAGGAGAGCTGATAAGAAAAAAAACTGAGTCCTGTTACGTTTGTAAAGGACATTCGAGATTGCTTGAGAAAATTTTTTCAGCGGGAATTTATTTGACGCTATCTGGGCAAAACGATAAGTGAAGCAAAACAATTGCTAGAGAAAGGTAATGTCCTACTCCATTTTCATTTCGCAGAAAACTGGACAGTTGTACTGCCTGAAGATGGTCAGTCACATCACTGGCAAAAGACGCAAGTTGCGATCTTCACGTGCGCGGTGACAACTAGAAAAAGGAGAGCGCAGCATCGCCCTCATCAGTGATGACACGAGCCACGATTCTGCCCATGCATGCTACGCCGCTGCGAAAATTTGCGGGTGGCTTGAGGACGTTGCTTCGCTGTACGCGCATGTGACGTACGTCAGTGACGGTGCGGCAAGTCAATTTAAGAACCGGTATCAACTCCATGAGCTCACGAAAAGCAATTACCAGTCGGACAAATGGGTATTTTCAGCTACTGGGCATGGCAAGAACACCTGCGATGGGATTGGAGGCCTTGTCAAACACCATGCAACTCTTTTCAATCTCCGCATCAGTCATTAGGTATGAGTCAGGTATGGTGGACGTCCTCAAGACAGAATTATCGAATGTTGCACTATTTCACCTCCCAAGGCCTGACCTGCAGGTGTTCAGGAAAATGAAAACGAGAGACTGGAATTCCGTCCGGCCCGGGCCTGGAATTCAATCCTGGTTCTTCTAGCAGCGCATGCGCGTTACCCCACTAAGGTACGAATTGCTGGTATCAAGAACGAGAGCGTGTGCAAAGAAGCCATTTCACAAATAAGACTCGCTTCCACCAGCGTCTGTGAGCAGTGTAGTGCCAAGCGCCTACCACAAATCTAATAAACATCTGATGATAAAGAAATAAAAACAATTTTACACACCGGGTAACCTTCAGCATTTATCTTTTTTTTTTCGCGTTTTACCACCTGTGGGAACCTTTTCAAAAACGCAGTCCAACTCCGTGGTGTGAAACGGTTCTGACTTTTTATTATCCGTTTGAAGGCGACTGCGCACGGAGGGAAGAGACCTGACCCTCGGGCCCGGCCGGCGCGCTCCGCTGTTTATACTTACTCGCGCCGGAGAGCCAGGTGGAGCACGCTAGGGTGCCACGACGTCGAGATAAACATGCGTTAAGCGGAGCCGCTCCGGTTGTTTCCTTTATGTGACGCATACAGAGGCCCTACACGCCGGCTGTTGAAAACAGGCCCTGCGAAGCATGCGACATGATAGTGCCTCTCGATCGGCCTGACAGCAAAGATTTTCTGCAACTCTTATACAGAAGCGCGCTAAAATTCTCACTTTAAAGCCAACGTCCGCCTCTCTGCCGTCAATTTCTTGCTGTATTACCACCCTCTAACACTTTTACACTTTTTAAGAATAAGGAATTTGTCATCTTTGTTTATCAACACCCCTATTACGCTGCTGCGGTAGCCCTAATTTGGTCATATTTCTAGATTTTACAGCGGAGCTCTTAAAGGCTACTTTCCCCAGTTTCGTGTCCGTCACCAAATAAATGTTGACACAAAACTCTGGACCGCTACCGCCATCTATGAGCGACGGCGGCAGCATGCCAGCCTTTGGTTGCCGCCTTCGCTCATAGATGACGGCAACCTTTCCAGCCTTTCCACTCTGGTTTTTACCAGAGTGGAAAGGCGTCGTCCTCTAGGCGTCGTCCTCGAGGTCGTTCTAGAAGTCGTCCACGAGGCCTCCCTTAACGTCGTCCTTGAGATCGTTCGAGAGGTCGTCCGAGAGTTTGTGCTTGAGGTCGTCCTAGAAGTCATACTTGATGTCGTCCTAGACGTCGTCCTTCAGGTAGTCTAAACGTTTTCCTCGAGGTCGTCCTAGAGGCCATACTTGAGGTCGCCCTAAACATCCTCCTTCAGGTTCCTAGACGTCGTCTCTGAGGTCGTCCTAAGCGTCGTCTTCGAGATCGTCCTAGACGTCGTTCTTGAGGTCGTCCTAGACGTCGTGCTATATGGCGCTCTCCAAGTGTAACCCATGAAGTCGTCCAAGAAGTCGTCCTTGGGGTTGTCCCACCATAGTACAGCTTAGCTGGTCTTCCTTCTTCACCAGTGTAGAAAGGTTTTATAACTTCAAATACACGAAATAATGCAACATGTTTTTGAAGATTCTGTTAGTACCTAATCATTAGCCTTAATCTGGGAGAGTTAAAAAAAATCGAAGATGGCCTTTTTAGAGTGCAGCTCTTAAGCGCCCGTTTCCGGCTTGAGCGGCGTCGGCGTCGCCGTAACCGCGCGGTGCATTATGGGACACGTGACGTCACTGATGACGTCATCAGTGCGTCATCAGTGACGTCATCGACATCGTCATTGTCACTTATGACGTCATCAGTGACGTCATCGGCATTGCCGTCGTCATTGTCACTGATGACGGCATCGGCATCGCCATCGTCATCGTCACTGATGACGCCATCAGTGACGTCATCGGCATTCGCATCGTCATCGCCACTGATGACGTCATCAGTGGCGCCACTGGTGACGCCATCGGCATCGTCACTGATGACGTCATCAGTGACGTCACTGATGACATCATCGGCATTCGTATCGTCATTGTCATAGTCACTGATGTCGTCACTCGTGATGATGACGCCAACAGTGACGTCACTGGTGACGTCACTGATAACGTTATCGTCACGTGACCCCTGTGAAGTCACGTGACCCCGGTGACGTCAGATGACCCCCGTGAGGTCACGTGCCCCTCGTGAGGCGACGGCGACGCTGCTCGGAGGAAGGAGTAGCAGACAGGATGAGAAAATGAAGAGGGAGGAGGGGTATACCCTCCCCTCAGTACCCTTCCCTCCTCCTCCTCAAGAGCTGCGCTCTAATTCGGCGTTACAGGGAGTTGTAAACGGCTTTCATTTTAGAGCGCAGCTCTTAGGGGCCCGTTCCCGGCTTGAGCGGCGTCGGCGTCGCCGTAACCAAGGTCACCCCAAGGTCACGCGGCACCCAAGGTCATCCCAAGGTAACGTGACCCCCAAGATCACCCCAAGGTCACGCGACCCCCAGAGGTCGCGTGACACCCAAGGTCACGTGACCCCCGAGGTCACGTGACCCCGCCAAGTCACGTGATACCCCCCGAGGTCACGTGACCACCCCCAGGGTCACGTGACCCCCCACCGAGGTCACGTGACCTCCCCGATGACGTCATCGTCACTGATGACGTCACCGGCATCCGCATCGTCATCATCACTGATGACGTCATCAGTGGCGTCACTGATGACCTCACCGGCATCCGCATCGTCATCGTCATCATCACTGATGACGTCACCGACATCCGCATCGTCATTGTCATCATCACGGATGACGTCAACAGTGACGTCACTGATGACGTCACCGACATCCGCATCGTCATCGTCATCATCGCTGATAACGTCATCGGAGTCCGCATTGTCATCGTCACTGATGACATCATGGGCATCGTCACGAGATTCCCCAAGGTCACGTGACCCCCCCAGGTCACTTCATCCCCCCCCCAGTACCCTTCCCTCCTCCTCCTCAAGAGCTGCGCTCTAATTCGGTGTTACAGGGAGTTGTAAACGGCTTTCACTTTTTTATAAAGTTTTAAAGTAACTCGTAATTGGTGAAAATGACCCCATTTGAGCATTTCTCAAAAATTTGTTTCGCTGCCCAGGACAACCATATATAGCGCCAATATTAACAAGATGCAAAACAACACGCTGGTAAAGTTCGAAAGTTCAGGTATTTATAGACTCGGAAAAAACAAATTAATAAAATGTAAGTATTTATCGGAATATACCATGTTCGCGATTTTTTTTCTCGAAATTCACAATGTCGACACTTAATAATATATATTTTGGGTCAATCCCCCTTATATTTAGTTTTTTAGTAAATATTTTTAGACCGGCAGGCACAACAGATTTTTTGGAGAGGTGAATCAAATGCCAACTTCGCGCAATTCGCAGAATGCCCTTCGCACTGAGAGTGTGCTTCTAATTTTTTTCCTCAAAGACAATTTTTGTTTTCGCGAAACAGGTTTCGGTTTTGTTTTGATGAGTATTGATTTGTCAAAACATTTTTTTGTGAAAATTAAAAATAGTCCCCGTACATGGTCTGCCAAACTTATTTGAAAACATTCCATTAAGTTTTATTTAAGGCCCCCCTATTTGTATAATTTGTGTTAATTTCAAATATCCAGTCAGAAAGTAGGACGTTTGGGCAAGTAGACAAGGTGCTTCTATATTTTAGTTTTTCTACTGCTGATGAAAGCCCTAAGTCAAATGCCATAGTGTCCAATAGACGTTACTTCTCAAGGAGTCCCGAGTTTTGTATTTGTTAAAACGTTTGCTTTCGTAAAAAGATTTTCCTCTCTGAAAGGTTTCATACAAACAACTAGACCTTAGGTTCAGAATGATAGTCCTCGTTGAAGTTGGAACTTGATGAAAATAATACTCACGACCTTGAGGTTCAAAGCTCAAAATGTTTTTGAGTGTATATCCGGGAGATAAGCCGAGAGTCACTGTGAGATTACTGGAATATAAACCGCCAACGTTTTCATAGGCACTTTATTTTGATCTTGCTGAGTAAACAAACGTTTTCTTTTTAGCTCTTTAATGCAGACCACACTTTCAGTTTGGTAGCACTTGCCACGGAACCCCACCTAGTTGAAAATTAGCTAAGGGATATATAGGTCGGTCAAGTTGTAATCGGCGCTCTCCCTTGTCTTTTGTTTGTGTCTCTTTTTTTGTATTTTAGGCTCTTTCTTGCTTCAACAATTTCATCTGTTTTGTTTACGTTATTGTAAGCAAAACAAGGAGCGCAACCACCCGGGAAGGGTGTCTTCGCGCATAAATTAAGTCAATTGTAACACCGAAGAGTAAAATAGTGCTTATAAAAACAAAAAAACTCAGAAATGTTTTTGCACTTTAAAATGGAACATTTCACTGCCAAAAGCATCAAACTACACCGAATGTTGCGCTCACAAAGGGAATTAGTTAAAACGTTTTAGAACTTAAGAATTGTATCGCAGCTTGTTGGGTTTCCCTTGCTGCCACCTGCCCCGGAAAATGTCACGAGCACCAGTTTAATACTTAGTCATTTATTGAGTGTTATTGTATCCTGCAATTCACGCGACACTCCGCGCATACTTCTGCACCCGCCCTTTATCAGCGGCCGATTGTCGCTCGCCTGGCCGACTGCATTTGACCACCTCGCGGTGGAGATGGCCAAAGACGGTTTCGCACGTGCGAGCAAAAAAAAAAAAAAAAAAAAAAAGCCGAGCGCTATGTTAACACCAAAGTGCCCACAGACTGTTCAAGTTCAAACGTTTAGGCAAACCATATCTTAGACAAGTTATAGATTTTACTTTCCGCCCATATTTCGGTCTGGCAGAAAGAAGGCGACGCAAACCCCCGCTGCGTCGTCAGGTGTTTGTGATGTCCATTTGAAGTGGTGCACTCTAAACACGAGAAGTGACAAGTACGTCGCTAAAAACTGCTAGAGCGCTAGTATCCAAGAGGTGGGGTTGCCCGAACCGTAAAACGCGATTGCTGCTTAATGGCGGACGGCTCCTGCACAAGTGGGTTGCTCATGCGCACGCGTGCCTTGCCGCGTGGCGACGAGGATAGCAGACAGAGAGGTTGAGCCAAGCTTGGGGACGCTTGCAGACTAGAAAGCCTAGATGGTACAGGAGTCCATCTTAAAACATGGAGATCATTTGAAATTTAATGGCGGACAACTCTTCCTCCGCGCCCATTAGCCGCAAATGCGCATGCGCTACGTTGTTGCGTGGCGAGGAGGAAGGCAGGCGGGAAGGCAGGGACGCTCGCAAAGGATCAACGCGTTCGTCACCTCCCCGCGGCTCGTACTGCAAACGCGGCCCGTAAACCACGTGACCGCGAGCGAGCAGTTCGACACTCTCTATAATACAGGTTCTCTATTGTGGACGATCGACACCATCGCCTCCACCTCGTATCGTGTACTGCTACCGCGGTCCACCAACCACGTGACCTCAATCAATTACTTTGAAAATAAACACTAAAATTTGTGAATGAACAATCTCACCGTCGCGGCTACTGTTGCTGTGATGAACGAAATACCAACCACCGCAAAATCCTTTTTGCTTTTAGTGGTTCTCAACATCTAAACGTCGTTTTCTGGAGCCAAGCAGATTTTCGTGTTCTTTGCTAAAATAGTAGTCCTTTACTCTTTGAAATCGCAGCCGGCGAGAAAGAACGATATACAGACATTTTTTTTAAAAAACTGCAAGTTGTTATTACCTATACGTACCAGAGCGCGTTCGATAGAATGCAGTTCACTCAGAAATAATAAAACACTGAAAATAGACGAGGGAGAGACTCTCACAGTTCTTTCAACGAGCAACGAAAATTATGTGATGCCTATCACACTGCGAAAAACCACTTTGGTCACAGAGAAAATTTAGGGAAGACGAACATAGTACAAAATACTAGTATTTTCGTCTACCCTAAAATTGCTCGGTGCCCAAAGTTGTTTTTCGCAGTGTGATGGGAATCATATAAATGTCGTTTCTCGTTAAAAGGACTGCGAGTGTCTGTCCCTCGTCTATCTTCAGTGTATTTTTTTTTATTATTTCTGTGTGAATTACCGTTCTGGTGGCATATTCTAAAGTAAAATGATTCTCAAAAACATTTTAAATTAAGGTTGTTAATTTAACATGCATGCTCACGTTGAAAAGCTTGGATCGTACTCGAGAATGACTGGGTATGAGTCATTTTGTCCGGGATCAGTTGCTTTGAATCTGACACACTTAGCAGTGCCACCGAAAAATGGATCTGTCTCGTAGTTTCTGTACACCATGTACCATGTCTCTTCGAGAGGAAAGTACTGCAATGTAGGATGGCGGTCGAAATACAAAAGCTTATGTTCACTTTGAGATGATTTTGGACAGGCTCGTTTTGGCAAAGTCTTGAGCACAGTAAGCAAAGCTGGACATACTGCAGAATATTGTCAAATATTATCTTGCTGATATTTCTTTCCCTAAACTCACCGGAGATTGATTCTGGTACTCTTGAAGCGATGGATTTTGTTCTGGGTATTGCTTGCTTGCGTGGATGCTATGAGGTACCAGGAGAGCCGTTATGGCGAGCAGAGTAAAAATCATCGTTCTGAATGGTTGATATTCGTTTATCGCATTTCAATCTCTGTTGACTACGGTAGCGTGTCAGCGTTCACGTCACTCGCTTTTATAAGCTTCGCAAGTGGGCTCACTTTTGTTTCCTGCGCTTGAAAAAGGAGGAGCGAAGGCGTAAAAGCAGGCTGATGGCAAGTTTGACTAAGTTCCGCCCCCGCACATGCCGGGAGGTCGGCTTGCGGTAAACAACATCGTCGTTGGTAATGGCGGTCGTGCCGTAACGGCGACTGTGAGTTTCCCTTACATTTTTTTTTTGTAGCGCTGTTAATATTTTTATATTTAACAACAACGAGCCGCTTTGTGATCCTTACGACTCCTCTGTGGTCTGTTCGAGGCGTTTCGTACATTCCAAGATAAAGACAAAAAACATCATCGGAAAGAAGGCGCTTCTCCAGCCTCCCGACTGAAACCCCGCTCTCCACACTGCTATCGAAAAGGGTGTATTTGGTTAATATTTGGGGGTATAATAACCTTATTTGCACTAATTCTAAAAACGATACCCGCTCTGCAAGAATTAATGAGTCCCCAATATCACCTGAGGTCGTAATAACGTAGTTTTGCCCATGAATAAAAGCCGTTACGCACAAAAGACCCCGAAAACACCGAAGAACTTGTTGAAAAACTCTCCGGCAGTTCATCCACATCGACATCAACCATAGGTAAGCACTGGTAATATGAACAGTCCCCCAGATCACAGGTAAAGGTAAAGGCAATGAAGCTTTAATGATGCTGTTAAACGCCAAACTGAAAAATATCGGTATATAGATAAGTGCAATGCTTTTAGATCTCAGTCGTGACCTAAAAGAAGACGGAATGGAGAAGGATGGCCTGCAATTCAGCGATCGAGGCGTACGAGTCGTGAAGAAAAAACTAGGAACAGTGGCTTGCCGTTTTTTTAGGTATACACCGGAAAAGAGGCATCACAGACAAGAGACAGCGAACACAACCCCACAGACACCAAAGGCAAGATCATGCGAACCAGATGAAAGGTGAAAAAGAAGGAACATTGTCAGCTGGACATCGTCACGCTCGAAACCCGCTATTGAAACTACGAGATACCAAAATGTACTTTCCATGGAAGTCATGCAAGTATTTCATGACTACAAAAGCAATGTGTCGCGACTGGGCTCGGTTTGCGAGTCGAAAATGGGGCAACAAAGATTACAAAAGCAAAAAAAGATGGCTTCTGGTCTTTTGAGAATCTACACCGCAAACAGAAACCAACACACTCTCTTTTGGGGGTATACATAGGGTGTTCCATTCTCATATGCCGGTGCCGGTTTACCCGATGTAACTGCAAACCCAGACGTCGACGTCGTAGGATGCGAGCATTATGCGGCCAGTAATGGCGTCCCCTATGAACATCGCAACATGAACAGGCTCAATATGATGAGGCGGGGGTCAGGTTACGGGAATAGGCAGGGGTACGACTGAGAGGGCTGATTACTTCACAGATAACTAAGACTTACGAACACCGATGCAGTTTTGTTACAGATCCTGCGGGAAACGTAAACCAGGGTTGGAGACCCAACAACTATAGCGTACGGTTGTCATTTGCGGTCAATTATGGGAACACGCAGGGAATGGAAGTGCGGGCGACAAACTTTGCATTCTTCAACATTCAAGAACGAAGACAAGCAGCAAAATGGGAAGATATATATGCTGCATTAAAAGGAGAGCACCTAATCGGATTGGGAGTGGTAGAAACCGACCTATAGAATGAGGAGGCACAGCTTGATAAAGATGAATTAACGTTAGAAGGCCAGAACAGAAGGGGCGAAGAGCGAAGAGGGGAGGGGTGGGATTCGTGGGGACATGTTCAGGCAAGTTAGAGAGGTAGGGGAAATATTGTCTAGAACACCAGTAGATGACAGGGAAAATAAGGAGGAGGAAAGTCGCACTCATAATAAGGTTCCTTTGGACAGAGAACATGTCTGATGCTACAAACACAAAACCACTGGGCTGCCTAGAAAACGAGATAGTTCCACTAAATCTTCCCACCATCCTACTTTGCTACTTTAATACGCATATCGAGAAACTGGAGGACAAGACAGGCAAGACCGCGCAAGTCCGGTCGGGATATGCTAAGTTGGGTAGGGAAAATGCGGTTATGCATGCTGAACGGAACGGTCAAACATCAAAGGAAAATCACATGAGCTATTGGAAAACGCACATAACGCATAGACCACTGCTTCATGTCCCCATTGTCATGTGAGACCCTAGCGGTCATGTCAATAAAGGAGACTGTTACAGCAAGTCTTGTAAGTAATCACCTTTGATTGAAATTGCATGTTGGGTAACTTACAGTGAGACAATCACCGAGGCACAAACCACCTAAGATCTTGACCAATAATAAAATGGAACAGTGAGAGGAGCTGGAAAAGGGAGCTGAAGATGAACCTATTCAATAGGAAAATGACAAAATTAAAGAAAAAAAGGAGTAAGCGCCAGAATCATGGTCGACGGTAAAAAAAAGGTGGTGGTACGGTGAAGTGACAGAGGCAAGACACCGGAGGAGACAAGCATGCAAGAAGCATGATGACGCACTTACAATGATATTAAAAAAAACAAAATCGATTCTTAAGGCACGGGAGGAATACAGAAAAAAATACAGTTCACAGCGGTCGCACGAAGAAAATAAAAACTGTTCCAAGGAAATGCTGTTGAACTTGCAGCGCCGCGTCAGAGATACTCTAAGAAAGGTTTGGCAATATGTGAGATGTAAAATGAGGTGATGTGGGCGGAGGCCACCCCAGCAACAATAAAAGATCCAAGGAATAGGTCAATCCTCACTAAACAGCAATGTATCAAGTCCGTAGCTGTAGCAATGGCGGAGATCTTCACAGAACTAAATGCCGAAAGCCTGAGAGACCTACAGAAGGACAGTATTGAAAACGTCACAGAGCGGCACGTAATATCGCAGGGTGAGTTGAGCAGAGCCCTGCAGCGCACAGACAGCCACACTGCAACTGAGTTTGATAGCGTCCCAGCAATCCTGTTGAAGAAAATCGGATGGAAATCCAGAGAACGGCTTCGAGAGGCGTTATCCTAAGTTATGACAACACGTGAAATACCAGAGGACTAGAGAAGATCTGATATCAGGATGTTATACAAGAGGAAATGAGACCAGCTGACCTTCAATAACTATCGTCCAGAGTGTACTGTTTATATATTTACGCAGCCTAAACTTAAACTGCCTTAACGGACGACTTGTCTCTCAGCTCTAGGGGGGGGAACTTAGCCAGTGCGGTACAGCCGCTAGCCTGGGGTCTTTAACGTACACCACAGAGTAGTGATACACGACCGCACGCCGGTACGATACTTGCCCAGATCTAAACGGGCGGCGGTGTGTGTGTTGGGCCCAGGATCCTTGGGGTCTGGAGCGTGAGTTTTCGCTACACGTTCCCCTAACTGGTGTGCGTTAGCCCACTCGGCCCCCGATCCCCCAGTTCTCTACCGGATTAAAATCAGGTACAGCAATGAGGTCACAGTTATTGGACGATGGTTCCATCGTTAAATAACTCTGACCTCAGTGATCTACCGAATGTGCTCAGGGAACGACTACAGCATGGGAAAGATAATTAAATAATACGAATGGAGCTCCAAAATGAATTCAGGAAAGGAAGGCGGCTAGAAGACAACTTATTCGTGATCACACAGGCCGTGAAAATTGTCAACCAAGAGCGGAGACCTGGGCTTTTTGAACACCTGGGCTTTTTGAACACCTCTAAGGTTTACGACTCGGTTGATCATAAACCTCCATGGGTCAGTCTTTAACAGCTTCAAATGCGGGGGGGAGTGGATGGACATACTGCAGCATATTTAAAAAGGCAAAAGGTTTATGGCACAATGCGGCAAAAAACGCTCCTAGGCCGCCGCCATGTTGCTGATGCTGATGCGGCTGGTGCGACTCTCGCGCCCTCTATCAGCTCGAAATTTTCTGCCACTCTCTTCGACTGTGAAGACCCGCACTGCGCGGTTCTCTAGCTACGTTTTTGCGGTTTTGCATTCGACGTTTTCTCACCCCTCTTGAAAGCTTCCACTTAATTTTTCTTATGCGTGCTGCGTACCTTTTTCTTTGTTATCTTCCATTGTGAGAAATAAAGCTGGTAAGTGCCTGCCATCCAAGTTTTTCTGCTTGAAGCGCGAAACACATGTACGACGAAACCTTCCGATCCGATGTGCGAACTGCCGGAATGACCTTGGGGGGGGGGGGGGGGGGGGGGGGGGGGGAGGGGGGGGGGGGCGAGGGTTTTCGTAGCATCGGAGAGCGTTAAAAACCCTCGCCTCCGACCGTCGTGTTGCGTGGTCAGACGTCGTATCGGACGGTTTCGTCGTACATGTGTTTCGTGCTTTACATTCACGAGAAACGAAGGAGGTGAAGGACGTCGAACGACCCTCGACGCGATTTTGCGAACACTGTTCTTCCCCCTCTTACAGATAATTCGCGTAGAATCCTCAGTCGTCTCCAAAATAGTTCTCCGGGTTGGGGTGCAAAACGGGTCACTCGCGTTCGTTCCCTTGCCTTGGTGCGGTTGTGAAAAAAGGAAGCTCTCCCCAAAACGTGCCCCAAGACGAAGTCATCTCGGATTCCGTCCGATCGTCAAGATGTGACTGTCGTCGGCTGTGACTCTGTTATTTTAGATCTTTCTCAGATAAATTATTTTCGGATAACGCTGCATCGTGTGGTACCTACAATATATTGTTCGAATGTTAACACTTGCTAAACTGTATGTCCGTGTCCTGTCCATCGGTAAACACGTTATTTGTGAGCGTAAAAGTGCATGCCTTTCGGCCCTCTTCTGTTGCAATTCACTTTTGACTGCAAAGCGCTTTGTTGTTTTACATGCGGCGAATACCGCAACGCCGTCAAAACTTATCGTAAAAAAGAAAAACGAAAACTAACATTCCAGTCGCATTTGTTCTCTCGCGCGCGTACCCAACAAAAATAGTTAGTTTTGTTTTTGCTTTTT